GTGTGTGTGTGTGTGTGTGTGTGTGTGTGTGTGTGTGTGTGTGTGTGTGTGTGTGTGTGTGTGTGTGTGTGTGTGTGTGTGTGTAACTAACTGTTATATATTGTTATCATTACAAAACAGTGACACACGATTTATCTCCAGGTCTGCGTGACGAAGCTCGTTGATTTTTAACAGCTAGTTGCAGGAATACGTGGAAGGAAACGCATATAAAATATTGTATAGCAGAAGAAAAAACGTTTAAAAGATTATAAAAGAAAAGATGGCGATTTTACTCAGATGACTCCCCTTACTTGGTAATAATGATAATATTAACGGTACATCAGTTACCTACGTTAGCCGTGAGCACCCAGGCATCGACGCAATAACGCCGGAGTTATATCACGGGCGCGCCAAACTTTTTGAACGCATGTAAGAGCATAGCTGCTCACTCTCCGTGCGACTAGGGCGCACTCGTCAACAAGCTGTCACACAGTTCATCGCTTCTATGTCTGTCTCCGTCAATGAAATCACAACAGCGGCCGCGCACATCGCACACGTGGTATGGCAGACAAGAACGCACAACCACACAGACACCTCACCACAACACAACACACGCATGTATGTATATTATATATATATATATATATATATATATGACATTCACACATGGCGTGCTAGCTTTCCTATTTATTGACTTCCGTCTCCATACCGGATATTACCAACTAAATGTAAGCGCTTCGATGGCAGACAACTATATCGACAATATCCGGGCCACAGAGAGCCGTGCGTGGCAATACTTAAAGCAAACGTTATAGACATATCACTTCATGTCCGCAAGACAAACTGTTGTTTCTATCTAATTGAAATCGCCGTCGTTTTTTTGCATCGTGACTGCAGTTTCCAATGTGCTTTGTCGGCAGGCAGGCACTCTCGATTTGACGGCGTCATGTTGCGCTGTTAATGTACCGTTCTCATGCGAGAGCGCGTCTCTGATTTCCCTTCTTGGAGCCATCCCACGGTGCTATCGGAGTTATTTTTTAGACGCGTGTTTAAGTTGTGTACGATCGCCGGAATCTTTGCGAGTAAAATGTCAAAAAAGTCGTGGGTTTCGCCGGGAGCAGATGTGGAGCTATGATATGATTTTCCTTACGTAATAATACTCCTGGTAACGGCCGCTGCACCCACACAAATACGCTCTCTCCTTCTCCCTCTCTGTCTCTCTCTCTCTCTCTCTCTCTCTCTCTCTCTCTCTCTCTCTACTCTCTCTCTCTCTCTCTCTCTCTCTCTC